ATGCTAAATTGGCTACTTCTTGTTAGAAAGACCGAAGCTAACCTTCTGTACTCCGAGCAGTTCATCACAAGGCCGTTTCAAGGAGAAAAGTCGTAGAAAAGTTCTTCTAATATCACTTCCTGTATATTACACAGGATATCCTGTATATTCACCGGTGGATATGTTGTAGTTTGTGGTTATAGGTACTGAATAAACTGAGGGCGGCGCCTTTGAAAATACGCGCAACCGCGGTATAAACTGTGTATACTGCGGGTGTGTATACTATGTATACCAACGTATACTCTGACCCAGATAACGCACAATGAAGTTTGTTTAGCTAAGCTAAGCTAGCCTAGCTAAGCTAGCCTAGCTGTTTTAATTGAAGCAAGGTGGAGAATGGAAAGTTACAAACTCTAGCCCAAGGCTGTAGAATGCCTAATTACGCATGCACATAATGTCAATACGCGGGCAAAGAACCAAAATTGCCCAATAGCCCTTTTCACGTAAAGGACTGAGGAATTCATTAGCTCATAATTTAACGTGACGCAACTCCCGGGGTACATTCCTCCGCCATTTTGTTCACGTTTTCTATGCAGGTCTATGGAGATGATGTCACTTTTCCAAGCGCCGTAGTTAGCTTACTGTACGCGATGTTCTATTTATACGGTATTCCAAAAAAACTTTGAAACTTGTGCTATTGAATGGTCCATATTGCGTGTGCTAGGGTTGTACGACTTGGGAGATACGCGCTCGGAAAGACGGTGGGTATAAGAGTTGCTGGATGAGTTGCTAAGGTCTATACTGCTAGTGAAGTGGCCATTTCTGTACCTGACTTACCGTAGCTAAGCTCTGTGAAGGCTGGGAACCTGTCTATATTGCTATGGCTAGGGAGATACGCGCTCGGAAAGACGGTGACTATAACGTCGGGATCCTGAGCCACTGGTAAGAGTTGCTAGCCATAAACACAAGTAATAGTAATATAGACAGGTTCCCAGCCTTCACAGAGCTTAGCTACGGTAAGTCAGGTACAGAAACGGCCACTTCACTAGCAGTATAGACCTTAGCAACTCATCCAGCAACTCTTATACCCACCGTCTTTCCGAGCGCGTATCTCCCAAGTCGTACAACCCTAGCACACGCAATACATGGACCATTCAATAGCACAAGTTTCAAAGTTTTTTTGGAATACCGTATAAATAGAACATCGCGTACAGTAAGCACTGTCTACACTCTCTCTTGGCATTGCGACACGTCAGGCTGCATTACAGCACCAAATGCCTTGGGACAAAAAGCTCGACTCGATCGTCAAAAGTTAACTTAATAAAGTATTATGTAAATGAAACACACGTTACAAAGAAGTAAAAAGTACATAATTATTATTGCCAATGATGAAATAGTTCAGGTGTTAGGAGAGGGGCTTCGAGTGTCTGGAGGAGAGCTTCTCTCTTCTGTATAATTATAAAAGATTATTACGCATGACGACAGCTGGTTCCATACCAGGGTTTGGCCATCTAGCTAACAGGCTTTATAAACGTAACACACTAATTTTTACAGCAACAGAAAGGTGTACTAAACAGATACTACTCCTGCAATCAGTAGCAATAGCCGACTATTAGCTACTACCATAGGTGAGCTTGGTGCTAACACTTACGTGAGCCATCCGGTTGTTCCAGGGACACTACAGGATGGGTAGTGGTTGATCTGTTACCATTTGACTCAGCCTGGACTGCAGCATTCACTACAGCCACATTGACTGATGAGGCTTCTGAAAAAACACAGGAGCTATAATTTCCATATCTACAGCGGAACCTCTGATAAGGGACCCTCCGAGATAAGGACAACCTCTCTACAAAGAGACGCTTGTTTTAACCCCATGCTAGTATTATTTGACCTCCGAGATTGGGACGACCTCGTTACAAGGGAAAATAGTATCACTGGCCCCATAGTGTCCCTTGTTCAGAGGTTCCACTATAATTATTGTCAGTGATTAGCACATCAACTGGCTCCTTAGAAGTGTCTATAGTTAATATAGGGTATTGGTAGCTATCACAAACATATAATGTGCCATGTTGTCTATGTAAAATGTACCTGAGCTTGTTCCTGGAGTGTTGATGTCTGTGGTTGAAATTTTAACAACAACCTTCATATACCATGCATTGTATATAATTATGCAGACATACCTTCATGATCTTGCTCAAACAACCTCTGATAACGATCTGCAGAGGTATCATTACACAAACTGTTTTCTTACTATCATAGGCCTAGCACAAGACACTTACCATTCCTAGCTCTTTGATATGACCTTACTGCATTTAGAACCAAAACCATCAACAGCAGAAGCAACAACAGCACCCCTATACCAATCCCCAAACCTAGCACCACCTTTGAACTTGGGCTGTGACTTTTACTGCGAGGCTTTTCAGCAGGTCCCAGGAGTTTCAATGCTTGAAGATCGAGTTCATTAGACAGTATTTCTTTCCCCGTGATATTAGTAGAACAAGTGTAGTTTCCACTGTCTGAATCGTCAAAGTCGTGAAGAATCAGGTAGCAGTTGTAGGGTGAGGATTTGTTTCTGCAGATTTGCCAATCCCCGCCTTGTATGGGAGACACACACCCGAGAGTATAGTTAGTGTCTTCTGTTGTGTTAGAGTCCACGGGGCAGGGTACAGAGAGAGTGCTAGTCCCCCGTACCAGGTGAAATGACACAGGGACGTCCCTCGAGTCGTTGAGATGAGAGAAACACGACAGTTCGACTGTTTCCACAACTGATGATTTCTCGTGGCTATGAAGTTGAATCTTCATCTCTGTTGAATATATGCAGATTAATAAATTGAAGTAGAGAAGCTCAAAATGCAGGTATGGTAAGTCAAACACTTTGCATAGCATACTGTACTCCTGTTTATGTTGCTTTCTGCTCATAATTATACAAACGGAGACATATACCCTTTGGACGCCATGGGTATCTCCTTAAATAAGCAGAAACTGATGTATAAAGTATTAGGACCTAGTATTACAACTCCCATATAAATTCTTATGGACATAATATGGAGGCTCTGGACACATTTACAGTATGTGTCCGTGGCTGGTTAAGTGTTAATTCACAAGTGGTAAATATAGGTTACTCTTCAGAAAAGTACGAGCAGGTGTAGTAGTGTGTACCGCTTACCTAAACCTCTAAGAAGGAGTAAAGCCTCTTGTGTTTTGGGTACCGGAGGATCCAGGTCACAAGTAAAATTATATTGGAATGAAATCTCTCTTTCCCCTGCATATGCTTCTCCCCGAATCTACACACACAAAAACCATAAGAGTAAACTCGTTAATTGGCGAGTGATGCAGAACCTTCCTAGTCGTTTCAATGTGGGATTTTCTATTTATAGGAGACGGGCACTGTTTGATGGGGCACTGCACATACCGTAGTACTCTATGTGATGCTAAAACACACGCTAAATATTGAACTTGTTGCCAAAACTTGTTGCATTCCTCTAGTATGTAATGTATATACACATCTGATAACACAGACTTTAGATACTACACAAATGAGGACTGGAATCCATCTAGATTCTCTAGCTTGAGCAAATCAGATTGCTTGCGGACCCTCAAAGTCAAACTATCGTCCTTCACATTCTAGTGCACCTACTAAAGGTTAATACTCATAAAGGCTCGAGGACCTCTCTCTTGTAACAACTACTGCGAGTAGCTACCACAATAGCAGGTGAACAGGACTGTTGCTTACACTGATGGTACTGCAGCCAGTCATATTCAGGGAGTAGTTATCAACCTCTGAGACATTGAAGAGACACACAGCTCCCTCACACATTGAAGAGCATTCGAGTATGGAGACACTGGCATCAAACCAGTGGCCTGCTTGTGCCTCTATCTTCGTGTACGGGCAGGCCCCACCCTCTGCTCTGCAACCAATACTCACTCTATATGTTTCAAAGAAGAATCTACAATGTTCAATGCATGTAAAAACATACAGAGAATTAAGTCTCACAATGAAAGGGCTAAAATAAAGCCCGGAAAGAAAGTACGCCATTCGCCGATGTTCCTCAGTAATGACAAGGGTGAGTGGGGAGAGGGTTAAAAACTGAAGGAATCATTGCGCATGCGCTCACGGACGGGAATCTAATTGCTGGGCGTAGCTAGCTCGCTTTTTGTGAGAGAGATGTTTGATGAGATGTGGGCTGTCAACAGAGAGCAGGCCTCGGAGAGAGAAAAAAAATCCACGTAAGGACTCAGTACGCTACAGGAAGTCTGACAGTAAACCAGTCAAGTAACAGAGCTTGCTTTGGCACCGCGACGTATCGGGGTAGTGAGGTGCGTGGGAGGTGGTAGTAGCTAGCTCGCAACGTAGCTACTCACTAGCTATAACAACTGAGCGTCACGTTGGCAATAAGTGAAGGGTTTTGTGTAACGGCTGTATGTGCTCACTGCTCTTAACAGCGTGAATAACACACTTTACGACGTTCGTGGCCACTGTCAGTATATACCTATTCCCTAATGCATGTTAGTAAACTGTATCTACCACTACCTTTGTGGTCCAAAGCCACTATACTCAGTGGTGCACTTGCCTGTAGGTGTAGGAGTTTGATAACAGGATAACTCGAGCATGTCATGTGACCATGTGAATAGCTACACACATAATATTCCCTATTGCGCAGTAGCTACATATAGTTCATATAATTGCTTAGAACGGAGGGTGACTCGAAGCCCCTACTGAAGTACTCAGCTGATGATTACAGGGGTCCCCCACGTGGTCTGAGGGTGGGGTTGGCCAAGGTCCAGAAAGCAGGGGAGGTGACCACAAGGGGCTGGGCCAGGATTGTAAGAATCGTTCGTCTCAGAGAAGTGTTTGCAGAGTTCCTTGCCACCTTTGCTCTTTTGGTAACAAAAATTAACTTCCAACATAAATCATTGTTATTATAATATTTCACCGCATAAATGCACACATGCATACACTATTTTTAAAGACTGTCACAATGACAAAAGTTGCCCTGTAACTGCATGCTTTCCTTGCCTTGATAAACGTTAAATCTTGCATTACATGTATGGTCTGCCTCTCTCTTCCCTTCATGTACACTAATTTGGTTCGCCTTTGCATGGTGTATATTGTGCAGTGCGCTGCCTTTGACTGGAACACTGTGCAACAGGTTCTTGTCTGGTGCAAGTTTTTCCATCGAAATAGTGTTTTCATTCCCTTACAAGTGGTAGCTAAATCCCAAGAATTTTATGCAAAGAGATTAGAGGCAATCGCAAAATTGCCTCTAACATTCAAAATGTGTTACTTACTACCGACCTACGTATTTTTGAGTTAAGAGAGAGGGAGTGTTTGTGCACCCCCATCCACAAATAAGGTAGAGTTATGCAACACCAGAAGTTAGGAATTTAGTTGTCTTTGTGTTGTTAGGTGTTAGGATACGGTAAACTGTACAGTACTGCAAAACACACTGTGCATCATTGATTCTCATGTGTGATTGCAGACCTTTGGGAATGGATCCATAGCCCAAGCTATTCTAAGCCGAGACCGTGGGGTGGAGTTTATCGAGAATGGAACTACATTCTTTAACCCTCCACTGGGAACTGAGATGAGCATCAACGTTGGCTACGGAGTGGGGGTAATGATAGGGGCGTACATTGCAATTGGAGTGACTGGGGGACACATGAACCCAGCTGTGACCCTGGCCATGGCAATCAGAGGAAAGACACACTGGCTGAAGGTGAGAGGGAGGAGGGAGGGAGAGAGAGGGATAAGGTGAATAAGAGAGGGAGGGAGGGTTAGAGGAAAGAGTGAAAGAGGAAGGGAGGGAGGGAGGGAGGAAGAGAGAAGGTGAGGGAGGGAGGGAGGGAGGAGAGGGAATAAGAGAAGGGATATATATGTAGTCATAGAAACTGATGTAAGGGGAGTGAGGGAAAGGAAAGGAGAGAAGAGAGAGAAGGCAAGCAGGAGGGAGTGAAGGAGGAAGAGACAGAAACATAATGTACTTTTCTTCGCCGTTCTCTTGATACGCAGGTGATACCCTACTGGGTTGCTCAGTTTCTCGGCGCATTTTTCTCATCTGCTGTTGTGTATGGAACCTACATCGGTGAGTTGATTGGAATTCCTTTGTTTCGTGGATGATGCTCGGTTCTTTCTTCAGATGCTCTGGACTCCTATACCCCCTGCCCCAAGTACAGCACTCCGTGTACTGCTACCATATTCGCCACCTACCCCCAGCCTTACCTCACCCTGGGCAGAGGAGTTCTTGACCAAGTGTGTATAGCTATCACATGCACGCACCTGCCTTGCTTTTAGGGAAATGTGGCAGTATAATTTAGAAATGTTACTAAAAACGGAACTCAATTGCATTCTTTCACTGTCCCCCTATTGTTTTGTTCTATCTTTAGTAACATTTCTAAATTGGCCCTTCTATACTGCCACATTTCCTTTAAAAGCTCGCCATACATTCGGGAATTTTGTCGATATAATTTTCTCCTGCCAGAAGTCAACTGTTTAGGCAATGCGGTGTGTGTGTGTGTGTGTGTGTGTGTGTATGTGTGTGTGTGACTCCATTTTGCAAGTGACAGACTGCTGTAAGTGTAACGGTGATTGTTCCTTTTAGATTGTGGGTACTTTTCTACTACTCCTGGGAGTATTTGCAATCACTGATCCCGACAACGCGGGACTGAAGAAGGGAATCCAGCCGGTGGCGGTTGGCTTCCTCCTCTGGGGAATCGGGGCCTCGTTTGGGCTCAACTGTGGCTATGCAATCAACCCCGCCAGGGACCTTGCCCCTAGGATCTTCACCTCGTTGGCCGGCTGGGGCAAGGAAGTGTTTGTGTAAGTCATCCATGTTTGTCTGTCACTAGATATGGCAGTGGAACTTCCGATTAGGGACCCCCCTATAGAGATAGGGATGACTTTTCTCAAAGGACACTTGTCATGCTAATACTTTAATGTGTTTTTGCCCTCCGAGATAAGGACAACCTCTCTACAAGGGACAAAATCGTTGGCCTAATTGTGTCGCTTGCTCGGAGGTTCCACTGTATTTGATGAGAGAGGGTCTTCCAAAGTTTAACCCTTTGAGTGCATGCACGTTGAAACGGTTAATAGATGCTGCATAGTTATATAGCTACACACTATATATGCAGGCTCAATCTCTCGTTTCATTACAGGTGTGCTGGCTGCAGCATCAGACATTGGTGGTGGGTTCCAATTGTTGCTCCAATGATAGGGGCAATCCTCGCAGCACTCTTCTATTGGCTCCTGATTGATTCTCACCACGGGAAATCCCGGAATGAAAACGAGAATGCCCAAACTGTCAATAATACCTAGAGCTATATATACCCTGTGCTATTTTCTTACTGACATTGTCCTGTGTCATGTGTCATGACTATGACAAGACTGTGACTTGAGCATAGTAAAAAATAGTATGTGTAGCTAGCTTTCTCCCTATTATTGTAAAAGCTGACTCTACTATAATATATTAAATTTGAGTGAGCTAATGAGCGCAGTGCCTTCAACTAATGCGGAAATCAAGACCATTAATCTTAAGGACAGAATTGTGGAAAACACAAAAGGCTAATGCGTGGCAAGTTATGCAAGTATGCGTATAACGTAGTGTTCATAAGCCAACCATGCGAGGCTTTATTTACGCACTATATACAGCGAGTGCTACGTAAGTATCTTTTGGAATGGGACGAGCATGATTAGCTAGCTCCGCATGCGAGCGCGCACTATGCGCATGCTCGGCGACCTTTACGCACTTGTTGGCGAGCGGGAGCGACCAAACTTGCGCGATGTTCGGGCTGCATATGACGCGCACAGCTTTCCTTTCGTGAAGCAAGACAGATCTACCTGTCGCCGTTACATGCGTATTGTACATTGCCAGAACGGTGAGCAGGTGAGCAGAGCGGTACTTACCTACCTCACGCTTTCCGCTCGTCAGTCGTGGTCCACCAGGCAGCTGGCACGAGCAATCCTAGCGTATTTGCAAGATGCACCTTCGAACGATGAAGATTGGGAAGAGGTACAGCCTCGGTCAGTCACCGGAGGTTGGAGCGCATGCCGTCGAATGGAGGAGAGTTCTCTAGCTGAGGCTGGCTAGACCGATCGGCGCATATCTCGAGGCACCGTGTGTGAAAATGGGAAATAGTAAAGCGCGTACAAAGCCGCGCATGCCCACTTACACGACGTAAACACATAATTATACCGAAAATTCCGCTCGACTAGGTTGGCTCGCTCCCGCTGGCCAATAAAGATGCAGACTCATCCGAAAGCACAGTAAACATCATTATGATACACCAAAAAGAGTCCACGATATTTCAGAAATCAGCCCGGCAAGTAATTGCCGGAGGAAGCTCAGGTATACTAGCTTTATTATGTCTCTAGCTACCCTGTAGTTAACCATGCATGCATGCTGCGTTGATTGTTTATATGATGCAGTATTATGCGGTCATGATCATGTAAGTTGATATTCGCATGATTATTAATGTCAATGACAAAATTAGCTAAAAGCATGGAACTGTTTTAGTAATGAGTTAGCTAAAATTATGCCATATAAAGAATAACTGTTGTAGGTAATTTTGTAACTGGTGCAAACGAATGTTAACTTAAAACCATTCAATGCATATGTGTCATAGCAACTAATAAATGATTTGCCTAAAACGGCACATAGATAACAAAACACCTCATTGTGGATTTTTGCGATTCCTTTCTGTATAGGTCTTGTTGAAATATGCATAATGCATCCACTGGATATTGTCAAGACCAGGTATTGTAGCTATATTATATATACCCCTTTTTGAGCTGTTCCTGAGTGACAATCTTTAATAAAGACTACAGATTCAAAGAGGAGGAGCAGCAATTCTACATACGTCTCCCTTACAGACTGCATCATGAAGATCATCAAACATGAAGGGTACTTTAAGCGTTTAGTTGCACGTTGAATGAACTAGCTAGTTATCAACACTTTCTCTACAGACCTCTATCACTATACAAGGGAATCCTTCCACCCATTCTAGCAGAGACTCCAAGAAGAGCCACTAAGGTTAGCTTTAGGTGTTGCTTGCCAACTGATGCTCATTCGCATTCTGGCGACAGTTTTGGAGTTTTGAGTTCTACAGAGACATCTGCTCTTCAGTACACTTCACTGGACCTTGGGTAATGCCCAATGCTCACTGTAAAATCCTGTGACGTAAATATTTTTTGTAGATTATAGATTCAGTATATAAAATAATTAGTGTTCTTGTTTTAGATGCTCCAATATGACTCATAATCATGTTTCAGAAGGCTGACGTGTGGCACATATCAATTTGTTTGGCCAGACACATTGATATGTGAGACGTCACCTTCTTCATAATTATAATCCAGACTAGCTGGCAACAACAGCTATTGAGGGTTGTAGTTAATGATGGAGTATTTATTTACTTCAAGTCACTAGTGGTGGCAGGAATAGCCTCTGGTGCCACTGAAGGTTTTGTGCTGACTCCATTTGAGAGGGTGAAGGTCTACATGATGCAGGCTCAGAGGACCCAACTGTCTCTGGTAAACTGACTATTTCGAAGAATGCTCATTAACTAATACGGCCACCGTTCCTTGCATAGCACAGAAACCCTAACCATCGTAGTATATCCATGACAATGGACTCTAACCATGGGCTCTGTCACTACCAGCTCTAAAGTCTAAACAAAGCATGCATTGCAGTATCCCTTCTGTAATTGTGTTGCACTCCAAGTGCTAAATTGCTAGGCAACCTTTATTGGATGCATTTCTATGAAGACCTATCTAGCGTAGTAAATCATGGTCATGTGGCGAAGCTATATACTGAACTACACATACGTGAACCAACATTACCAAGTAGCATTCTGTTCACTAGCTGTTACATCATGTTGCATAAACATCAACTGTGGTTTAAATTTGCAGACGTCCAGTACATGGGAGGTGACTAGAGGTATCATCAGACGTGATGGATTAGGCACCAGGGGACTGTACAGGGGAATGACGGCGCTGTTGGTCAGGGACACTCTATTTAACGCCGTCTACTTTGGTGGCTACTACAACATGAAGATCTACTTGGTCCCTCATGACGTACGTATGTTGAACTCATTTGTGTGGTGTGACTGTTGTCTTTAAACTGATGAATATAGTTTGCATGTCCTTCTCCTCTCTCTTTTTCTCTTTCTTTCTTCGTGTATATAAATGCACGAGCTGTTCAGTTTACATGACAAAGTACAACATGACTGTTGGATGCAGGGTGAATGAGATATGCGCACGTGTAATAGTGCGAGCATGATAGTCAGTTTTTGTGTCACCAAGTTGTGTTCATAAGATTATCATGTAATTCATGTCTCTGGTACACACTGCGTGTTGCATAAACATTGCGCTAATCTTTTAAAAAGACAAACAAAACCCAGGGGCTAGCTAAGTATTTTGCTGAAAAACCAGGCACAGCAGTAGAAATTGGGTAAACTTAACTAACAAAGTTGGATTTAAGCCAATCCTTATTACCCCTAGAAGCAGGAATCTATACCACTGAGACTAATGCTGGGTTTCCTGGCTGGATTTCTGGCAGGCTTGATCAACATTCCTTTTGATGTGGCCAAAAGCCGCATTCAGGCTTCTGAGAACTCGGACAAATACCTCAGAACCCTCTCTACTTTGAGAACAGTGCAGAGAGAGGAAGGGTGAGCAACATACTAGCTTTATGCTTTAACAAGTCACTTGTGCAGCTCACTCTTTAGATTGAAGCAAGCCTGCCTAATAATCAGAATGGGTTATTTTTCAGCTACCTATCCCCTGGGTGTTGTTTATGATTTTTTGTAATGTATGGCAATGCACATCCGTAAAATCAAGAAAAACACGCTCAAAAATCTAAGTGCTCGCTTCACTTGCCAAACGTATGTGGCCTTTGTTCTAGCCCATGCCACCATTTGCACATGGTGCGTGTATCTTTCTCATCAGTACCATGT